ATGTCCCCATGCCGAGACTGCGTACATGGCGAGTGGGACTATTGCTCCCTCATAAATTGTTTTGAGCGCTGTTCCTGAGAGACCCCAGTCTCTCCTAGCCACTTTGGCTATCCATGTTACCATCTTGGCAAATTTTCAAATTATCTACATCGATTTGTGAATAAGCAAAATGATCTGTGTGCCATATGTGGACAACCGGACAGCGTCGACCATTATCTTTTTACCTGTATTTCTCTTGAAAGAGAACGTTTAGAAATAAAAACCATTGCTCATAGATATAACCTCAACTGGCCATGCAAACATGAAGATCTCATAAAAAATAAAGAAATTTTTTCTTCCTTTCTTCTACTAGTTAAATGCCATGAGACTATAGCAACCTACGCAACTAGGGAATAATTCTTGATTTCAATCACTTTTATCTTACTTGATAAACTTGTTTATTTTCTTGAAAACTTCTTGTTGTCTTGTTCTTTTATTCGGTTTTTGAAATTCCTATTATTATTGTTGGATTCACTATATTCGACATAGTTTTGAGGTTAACTCTTGCATTTTCTGTCGTCAATTGTTAACGACCCTTTTCTTACATTTGCCACTTTGCTGAATTGTCAGAGGACTTGACAGATGAAAATGTTTTACTACCATATAAAGGCTTCAATGGGTACGTGATTATTAAAAACATTCAACATACTTTGATCACTATGCCTCATCTATGACCTTTGTGTTCAGTCAACGTGTTAATTATCTTCATAATAATCGAATACATAACTCATCACAGTCAGTTCGCAAGAAGAATTGCAAAGTCTCCTGGCCAAATAAATTGCTTAAATGCAGAATCATGGATGTCTTATACACAATGTCTCTGACGTAGATACGTGAATTAACATGAGATATCTTGGACACATTGTCTGTACCGCAGACACGTGACTTTTATAAAAGAAGTGTGGATTATGGATATGTTGAAAACATTGTTTGAGCTGTAGACAGGTGACCTTAATTGAACCTTGTATCCTTATTCTAAACCGTTTGATTTCTCTGCGCCTCTGCTGCAATATGTGTTTTCTCCATTTGAGAAAGGACATGACATTTGGATACAGCCTATGTGCTGTAACGATAGAGACATGCTGGGCAATTATCTGAGTCCATTTTGTAGTTATAATCAATTCCTACTACAAGTCTGAGGAAACTATGCATTGATGATACTGGATAAGACCATTATCGATGTGATTGGATAAGAATACACCGTTGGATTAGAAAAGCAGTGTTCAACTTTGCGACTTGGCTCCATAAACTTTTGCTGGTTGATAGTCTGAGTGATCTAAACATCTGTGTGATAAAAATACACCATCCAATCAGGAAAATACTGTGCAACATGAAACTTGGTTCCATAAACTAGTGATGGTCGATAGTCTGTGTTATCTAAACATCTGTTGTGAACTATACACGGCTTCAACATTGAGCTTCGACAAAAGTTACCACCAAACTAGAAAAACTGTGCTGTGGACACTCGACCTTATAAGATTTCATAACACTCTGTTTGTATTACGATTAGAATACAACACGCTCAGTTTATTGTTATATAGCATAAGTTTAGTTTTAAGATAGTCATAANTTTTATTTACTTTGTGTTACCTATTTAAATTATTGTATATATTTATTATTGTTGTTTATTTATTTATTTATATTACCATTGGCTGTTTAATGGTTAAACTGTTATGTTTTTTTATTTGTTTATTTTTGTTTGTTTGTTTTTGTTTTTATGTGTATACATGTGTTTTTCTATTTATTATATATCTGAAATTGTATTATGTGTCATGGTGCAGTATAGCTTGTATGGCTCTTGTGTTAATAAAAACCAACCAACCTATCAATATTGTTTCCTTTGGGGATAATCACTAGATTTGCCTCCTTACAGATAGTTGGAAAGAGACTATGCTGGAGGCATTGATTGTATAATTCCACCATATACTCTGGGTTCGTTTCCCAAATGTTGAAGATTATCTCTGCCACAATTCTGTCTGGACCTGGTGCTTTGCCTGGTTTTAATCTATATATAGCATTTTCCACTTGTGTGAACAAGGGATCTGACATGCTTCTATACTGGGCTTTGCTTCTTTCCCTTATAATACTTTGCTTTTGCGTGTCTGTGTCTGGATTGTCTTGTGGGAAAATGTGTCCATTAGCTTATTAATGGTTTCATTTATACCATCGGTATACATCTCGTCATCTTCAATTGATGTTAAGAAAGTTGGAGTTTTTAATTTCTTCACACAGACTTTGTAAATTAAGCTCCAGGGTTTTGATGAACTTTCTGTACAGAACTCTCCATGATTTGAGTTTGTCTTTTTATATTTTCTTTGTAGATCATACTATGGTTTAGATATTCTTGTTTTTTATTCCTGTGGGCTTCCTCACAACATGTCTTTTGGTACCACCTTTTTAATTGATTATTTCGTCATTTTAATTCAGTAAGTTCTTTCGACCACCAGGGTACCGTTTTTTGTCCTTTTCGTTTCCTTGGTATTGTCTGATTGAATGTTGTTATAAGGGTATTCTGGAAGGAGGTGATGGCGTCCTCAACTTCCCTCTGATCTTTACAACCTTGTAGCTTTGCGGTGACCATTGCTTCCTTCATCTTGTTCTTAAACTTTGTTTAATTAGCTTTATTGATTGCATAGTATGCACTTATTTCTTCATTCTCTGTCCAATTATCACCACCCTCTTCGAAGAAGATATAACTGTGGTTGCTAAGACTACACAGCTGAAAGACATGCCAGGACTTTACCATGTTAAGGCTGTACTGTTACATATAGTTAAGTCTATCCAACTTTGCCCTATCGGGACATTGAAGGTTGGTAGTGAGTCCGGCAGATTCAGGATGTAGAGGCTGTTGGCATTGACAAAATTCAGGATCTGTTTGGCCCTCTCGTTATCAGGAACTCCCCAAAGTTCCAAGTGTGCATTAAAATTTCCACATATTATAATATGCTTGTGGGAGAATCGTTGGATTATGCCATGGAGACTTTGAAGCATCGGGTTGAGATCTGACGTTATAGGACAGTAGGCACTTATGAATAAGAAATTAGATTGTCCATTTCCTACTTCCAGACAAGTAATAAGCTCATCATTCTCTTTGGCATGGAAAACCACAGGAATCATTGGATTGCTGACAAGTGCAGCTGTGGATGGACAGTAGTTTTTGTTATATAATGTTCTATATGTTGTCCGTAGGCAAGCTGGATTACCTCTTACAATATGGCTCTTGAATTAGTGCCAGATCTGCCTTTTCTAGTGTTGTACATAAAGTAGATGTCCCACTTATCAACATTTGTACATTGATCTGAATAACTTTAAACATCCTTTCTTGACTGTTATCTATGATGTTACTCCCCATAGTTTGTTTTTGCTATTATCATTTTGCGTATCCTCTGAATCATGGAGCATTTTTTCAAACAGACATTGTGACTTGTGTCCTTTATTTTTCCTCTTTTGCAATCAATGCATTCCATTCTCTCACTGTTTTTGCAATCCTTGTATTTGTGACTATGTCCACATTCTCTACATGTGGGATCTTTCTCTTTACAATTGCAGGCTATGTGCCCAATTTTACAGCAGTTAAAACATTGGGTTACGGAGATATAATCTTCCGTCCCACACCTGGACCAACCCAGGTTAACTTTTTTCGATTTCAGGATTAATCGCCTTACCACTGGGCTAACCTCTATAACCCAGTTTGTGGTACTTTTGTTTTTATTGCCAAACTGCAACTTAATTTCTACTTGACTCTGGAATTCAGTTTCTGTGGTAGTGTCATTCATAATTTCATTTTTATGGTATAAACATTTGATTACTTCTTCTTTATGAACATCTGTTTCAACACCGTACAGGACTATCCTCGGCCTTCTCTTAAAAGGTTCTTTTGTTTTCAGCCCTGTTGTAGATTCTATTATTTGTTTGTTTATTTTTTTCCTCTGGTGTGCCGACTTCAATGGCTACTGCTTCTCTTCTGAGTTTGTGTACTTCTTGTATTCCAATGCCCATCTGTTTTGGGTTTATATGCTTCTTTAGTTAATTCTTCGTCTTCTCTGCGGCATCATTCTCTTTTTCAGGCTCTACCAGAAGAATTTTTTTTATTTGGTTTTTGGTTCTTTTGTGCCGCAACTTGGGCATATGTTCGTCCTGTTGTACTACAAACTTCCAATACTTTGTTGATCTTTTCCCTCAGACCATCCCCTCGATGTGGGTTCCTGTCCATGGTGAGGGGACCTCCTAGAGATGGTTTAGTAACTCTACCATCCCTGGGATCTGAACGCCCACCCACGTGTCTGCTATGCGAGGTGTCTCGTATGCCGGAAAGGGGGATCCTGGTAGTTGAGGGGCAACATAACGTCCTCAACACACTGCTTTGGCCCCTACTTTGGATAAATGGGAGGCTCAAATCAGGCTCCGTTTGAGTCAATCGGCTGGTCGTTGAGTCATTCTTGACCTCGGCCTGCAGTCAACTGATCGATGCAGATCAGGCGGACACGTCAGTCAAGATGTGCTCTTCTTGACTGCATTGTGAGGGTATAGCTCCTGGGAAACCCTGGTGTGACGGTCTATGGGACTCTCCCATGTGACGGCATCCCCTTGTTGGGCCCCATGGTGGGTGGGGTCACTAGGAGCTGAAATATTATTATTTAATCATGGATCCTAAAACTTTAAAAAATAAAGACAAACCAGAAAACACTGCTAGTCAGCCATCCTACTCAATAGTGCATGCTACTGGAGAAAAACCTTTGTCAAAATGCTTCCCTTTTCTGATTCAGAAGTTATTTGAATCAATGATCGGACACCTGAAAAAAACATAAAAATTGAGATCAGGAGACCTACTTGTAGAAACTGCCTCACCTCAACAGTCGGCAAAACTTCTAGCTGCAAAGAAATTGGGAGACATTGAAGTTACAGTCACACCACATGGAAGTTTGAACTCATCACGTGGTGTGATATTTGAGTTTGATCTGATGTCTGAAGATGAATCAGATATTCAGATGAACCTTTCAGACCAAGGCGTCACTGCTGTCCGACGGGATGACAAGCTAATACCAACCAAACATTTAATTATCACCTTTAACAAGCCGACATTGCCATCTTTTATTACAGCAGGTTATCTGCGCTGCCCTGTCCGTCCGTACGTTCCAAATCCATCGGTTTGGACATTCACAGACATTTGCCATGGCAAGAGCATATGTGCACAGTGTGGGATTGAAGGTCACGAGAGTACTGAGTGTACCAGTACCCCATGCTGTGTTAACTGCACAGATGCCCACCCTTCTTACTCCAGAAAATGCCCTGCATGGCAAAGAGAAAAAGAGATAAAACGGGTAAAAACAGTCGATAACATACCCTACCCAGAGGCTCGTCATGTGGTCACTTCAACTGCACCTTTGAGACAGAAAACATTTGCTGCTGTTTTGAAATCCACAAAGACATGTGGGGTTCAAACAGATATTTTCGTCTCTCCAAATGAATCTCTTACTTGCCATGCGAAATGTTTAATTCTCCCATTTATCCAAACATCAGAAAAGGAGACCAAGAAGGTCAAAACACCCCTACCAAAAACAGGGGTAACAACAAGAAATGTGGGTTTAAAAAAGGCAAATAAAAACCCACTTAACAAGCAAAATGTTAAAGCAGCTATCTCCAGATTAACTAAGAAATCAGAGACTCAGTCTATGAGTGAGTTCTCTGACTTTTCCGATGAAGAAAATAATATGGTGGTGACACAACCAACGTCACCTCCAAAAGAAAAACATCCCGTGAAATTAGAGGGATACCTTCACAAAGAATGCTGCCTCAAACACATAATGGATTATAAAATAATCCAATGGAACTGTCGTGGTTACCACAACAACTTCTCTGACATTAAACACTTGATATTATCTACCCAATCTCTCTGTGTGGCACTCCAGGAAACCCATTTAAAACATGGAGAAAGAATCTCTTTAAAAGGATTTGATCTCTACCGCAAGAATGATGATAGCCACAACTGTGCCAGTGATGGTGTGGCTATTCTGGTTTCAAATCGCATTTCATCCTTACCGGTACAAATAACCACTGCTTTGCAAGCTGTGGCAGTCAGGATTTCTATTGGAGTAACTGTCACAGTTTGTTCTATATACTTGCCACCAGATGTTAGAGTCAGTGAGGATGAATTGGATGCACTGGTTGAACAGCTGCCAACACCATTTCTTTTACTAGGTGATTTCAATGGCCACAATCCTATGTGGGGCAGTTTCGACATTAACCATCGAGGCAGGGCCATTGAAAGATTCGTAGGCAATCAGCAACTATATTTGTTTAATACAGGAGAAGTGACATACTTCCATGTTCCATCAAGAACGTTTACTGCCATTGATCTATCATTAGCAACTCCGAATCTGTTTTCAGCATTTACATGGGAGGTTGGATCTAATCCATTCTCTAGTGACAAGTTCCCAATACAGTAGAACCTCGAAAACTCGGCCTAATGTGGACCGAAGGGTGGCCGAGTTTGTGAAAATGCCGGGTTATCGGGAATGGGGTTAAAAAAAATAAGTACGAGTGTTTCCTCAGAAAATACTGTACTGTACTTGTATGTATTGTTTACTTGAGAATACAACAGAGAATAAACTGCCCAAATACCCTTAAACAAAGGAAAAGTACGTCCTTTATGAAGGCATAGAGCCTTTACTACATGAAAATGAAAATTAATGAATACACTGTATACAGTAATTTACCTGATAAGACAGACCTCAGAAAAATACTTTATGAGAGCTTTTATACTTTTATAAAGCTGTCTATAATAAAAATTAATTAAGGATTTTTTTGCCCTGCCAGAGTGTGGTCGAGTTATCCGGAGTGCCGGGTTATCGAGAGCCGAGTTTTTGACGTTCTACTGTATTTCTAAAATATCAAGGCAGAGAAAGCTGTGAAACAGCCCGTCTACCACGCTGGAAACTGGAAACAGCAGATTAGCGTGCATTTTCCTCTGTGGCTAACATCACTGAGGAAATGGTTAATACTGCTGATATCAATGATGCAGTTGAAGTTGTCACTTCTAGTATTATTCAGGCAGCTGAAAAAACTATGGGAAAAACATCAACTAGATATCCAAAGCATCCAAAACCATGGTGGGACCAGAATTGCAAGGCAGCATTTAAAGCACAAAAGAAAGCATGGGGAATTTTCAGAAGGTACCCCACTGCTAACAATTCGGTTTCTTTTCAAAAAGCAAAGGCAAATGCCAGAAGAGTTAGAAGGCAAAGCCAAAGGGATTCTTGGAGGAACTATGTCTCTAGCATAACATCCTTCACTAGCTCAAAAGCAGTCTGGGATAAAATTCACAAAATTAATGGGAAATATGCTTCTCACTCTCTGTCCATACTAGAAAATAATGGCACAATAATCAGTGATATACAGGGTATTGCTGATACGTTGGGTGAAACATTTTTGTCTTCATTCAGAAATATTATGTATCAAGAAATTTTCATGTTTATAAAGCCCAAAGAGAAAAACAGTGTTTAAACTTTCATTCCTTATCTAATGAGGAATATAATGTGCCATTCACTAGAATTGAATTACATACAGTGATTTCTCGCTCAGGTAATAGTGCTGTAGGCCTGGATAAAATCCACTACAGCATGATTAAAAATCTTTCGAACAATTCCGTTTCTAATCTCCTGCATCTGTTTAACAGAATATGGACAGAACATACTTTTCTTGACTCTTGGAGGCTATCTATCATTATTCCCATTCCCAAATCAGGTAAAGACCACAAGAATCCCTCTAATTTATCCAATTTCTCTAGAATCTGTTTTTGCATATTTAATATTCGTGGATTCATAATCCTCTCTAGATCGTTTTTATTGGCTAGTAAATCAATTTTCTTTCCTATTAGTTTCGGAAGTTCAATCCCTGATATAGCATCTTCAGCCAAATTAATTATTTTATTACACTGATCCAATATATATTGCAAGTGTTTTGCAGTTTCAAATCTACATTAGGGTTAATTATGGCATATTCCTTTATTTCCTCTATTATAGTATTTGCTTGAGATTGAGAGTTTTATAAAATTAAGGACCCCATAATGAATAAATATAGTGTCAATGTTTAAAATGTAATGCAAATTGAACCAAAAATAAATAATAATAAAACAAAGAACAAATATATATGCTTATATATATCTATATAATAATCATAATAACCAGAATATCATAAATCATTAATATACTAAAATATTTAAACCAGTTATTTCAATATAACATGTATTTTATATCAATTTAAGTAAGTAAGTATTAATTACTTTTTATATAATTATCTTATATAATTATACTTATTGCCAAAATATTCCTTATCTAAACCCGGTTCCAAAAATATATTGTTATCCATATATTAATTTAAGACTTATCCTTAAAACAACAACTTTTAACTCTAATACTGCTATTTTATGTAGAGGTCAATGACCTTAACTACGTAAGCAGATGTTGGTTGAATGTTGAATTTGGAACACAATACGAGAATGGCCATAATTTAAATTCTATTAAAGGTAGGATAACAAAATTTTCAGAGAAAATTGCTGTTGGGAATCTCGTTAATCCAGTAGATAGGGATAGTGGGAATCTCGTTAATCCATCTAGTAGATAGGGACTTTTTTTCTTCATTTCGTAGGAACACGTCTTCCCCGGAAGGATCATCTCGTCCGACCTGGTTGGACTGTTTTGTTTTACTGCGTCTGTGCCTCGCTATGCTTTGCAGAGAGAGTTTATTAACAACTTAAAATGATTTACAACTAATCCATTATCATTGTGTGCCACTTGTTACATCCACGATACTGGATTCTGATAATTACATTTTTATAGTGTGTTGATTAGCACTAAACAATGTTGACATACTTCATTTTATAATAATTGTTAGATAATTTTAGTAACAACTTGTAAAGACTTTGCTTATCCACCAGTTCTTGTGGTGAAGCTGGCCAGGACAGGCCAAGAACAGTACATTCACAGTGGAGGGCATGCCTACTCTCCTCTAGACGGACACAGTGGAAAATCACGTGTTGCGCATTTTCATTCAGGTTACATGACTCACAGTTTGCCGTAGTGCTATGTCCATGTTTCAGTAGATACTCATTGAAATCTCCATGGTTTGACAGAAAAGCTGTTATTCTATGTGATGCCACAAAGTGCCTATTGGCAAGTCTCTTATTCACATCTGGAAAAAATTGATACGTCCATCTTCCTCTATTTACTGTTCGCCATCTATCTTGCCGTACTGCCATGTAATGTTTTCTGATGTGAGATTTTATCACTTCCATTGGGACTCTATTATGTGACCTGCAAGAATCCAACAAGCAACTCCTTTTTGCCTGCCTATCTGCCTCCTCATTACCTGCTATACCGACATGTGCTTTCACACATGCAAAGCAAATCTGGTTCTTGTGGTAATCATCTCTTGCCATCACTAAACTTTCCCATATTTTTTGTGTAAGGTTATGCTTACTATTTAAATCTTCTAAGGCTGATAATGCGGACCTGCTGTCCGTACAAATGCAGAACGCACCTGCATAATGATGTTTATTAATTCATTTTATTGCCATTAGAATTGCCATCATCTTCGCTTGAAAATTACTGCACCATTCATTCAGTTTCTTGTTCTGCCAATATGTTCTCCTTTTACCCACAAAATACACAAAGGCCAAGCCAACACCATCTGGTCCCTTTGACCCGTCTATAAATCCTTTTACTTATTGCGTTTGTATACTCTATTATTGTAACCTTTGGTATATCTCTGATCTTCAGAGATCCTTTGAGATCCAAAAAGAGCAAAGGTCTCCTTTGCTCTTTTTGCCTTGGCACTTCAATAGACAACCTTTCATTGTTAATATAACTTGGAAACTCCTTTAATGTCCTTACTATAAAGATATTCTTTCTTTGCTGGGCCAGCAGGTCCCGTGGGATGGTCCCCACTAGAACCTGCAATGCTACATTTGAAACCGTTCTATAGGATCCTGTGATCCTAATTAAAATCTTTCTCTGTATCGCAATTAATTTTCTCCCGAAGTGAGACTGGTCTACTTTATGTCCCCATGCCGAGACTGCGTACATGGCGAGTGGGACTATTGCTCCCTCATAAATTGTTTTGAGCGCTGTTCCTGAGAGACCCCAGTCTCTCCTAGCCACTTTGGCTATCCATGTTACCATCTTGGCAAATTTTCAAATTATCTACATCGATTTGTGAATAAGCAAAATGATCTGTGTGCCATATGTGGACAACCGGACAGCGTCGACCATTATCTTTTTACCTGTATTTCTCTTGAAAGAGAACGTTTAGAAATAAAAACCATTGCTCATAGATATAACCTCAACTGGCCATGCAAACATGAAGATCTCATAAAAAATAAAGAAATTTTTTCTTCCTTTCTTCTACTAGTTAAACGCCATGAGACTATAGCAACCTACGCAACTAGGGAATAATTCTTAATTTCAATTACTTTTACCTTACTTGATAAACTTGTTTATTTTCTTGAAAACTTCTTGTAGTCTTGTTCTTTTATTCGGTTTTTGAAAGTCCTATTATTGTTGTTGGATTCGCTATATTCGACATAGTTTTGAGGTTAACTCTCTTGCATTTTCTGTCGTCAATTGTTAACGACCCTTTTCTTACATTTGCCACTTTGCTGAATTGTCAGAGGACTTGACAGATGAAAATGTTTTACTACCATATAAAGGCTTCGATGGATACGTGATTATTAAAAACATTCAACATACTTTGATCACTATGTCTCATCTATGACCTTTGTGTTCAGTCAACGTGTTTATTATCTTCATAATAATCGAATACATAACTCATCACAGTCAGTTCGCAAGAAGAATTGCAAAGTCTCCTGGCCAAATAAATTGCTTCAGTGCAGAATCATGGATGTCTTATACACATTGTCTCTGACGTAGATACGTGAATTAACATAAGATATCTTGGATACATTGTACCGCAGACACGTGACATTTATAAAAGAAGTGTGGATTATGGATATCTTGAAAACATTGTTTGAGCTGTAGACAAGTGACCTTAATTGAACCTTGTGTCCTTATTCTAAACCGTTTGCTTTCTCAGCGCCTCTACTGCAATATGTGTTTTCTCCATTTGAGAAAGGACATGACATTTGGATGCAGCCTATGTGCTGTAACGATAGAGACGTGCTAGGCAATTATCTGAGCCCATCTTGTAGTAACAATCAATGCCTACTGCAAGTCTAAGGAAACTTTGCATTGATGTGACTGGATAAGACCATTATCGATGTGATTGGATAAGAATACGCCGTTGGATTAGAAAAGCAGTGTTCAACTTTGCGACTTGGCTTCATAAACTTTTGCTGGTTGATAGTCTGAGTGATCTAAACATCTGTGTGATAAGAATACACCATCCAATCAGGAAAATACTGTGCAACATGCAACTTGGTTCCATAAACTAGTGATGGTCGATAGTCTGTGTTATCTAAATATCTGTTATGAAGTATACACGGCTTCAACATTGATGAGCT